TTAGGGGTGGGGGTTGGGGGAGGGTCTTTGATCAGAAGATTGATGGAAGTACAATACTTTGGTTAAGATGGACGTCACAAGTGTAAAATTTTGGGGTGAATATCCCCATCGCGGACTTGCCTAGTCCCACAAACCGACACACAGTCGTTATTTATACTCAATATATGTACACCTTTCAATCCGAAAGTGTTAAATTATCTTTCTGTAATATCGCTTTTCATCTTGTTCAATTTGTGCTGGAACTCCGTTGATGTGGTGTAATCTGACACAACCCAGCAAGACCCACAAAGACGGTGGCCATTGTCAGTTCCTCATCATTATTCTTATCAAATCATTTATGGGTACGCCTACCTTTTCAACACGTTAACAATCATTTAAATGATTTACCCCGCTCAGTGGGCTACCGACTGTAGTCTTCACTATTATCAAAATCAGCAATCCGTAAAATTGAATGACCCTGTACATCATCCCAAAAGATTAACGACACACGTCGTTGTCATTTACTTATCTCCTTCTGAGACAAGGCGGAACGTGTAATTACGAAGGGGTTATTTAGGATGCTTAGAGATTATTTTTTAAAACTAATGGTCAACAACCTCACCATGCATACTCCTGACCTAGATTTTAGGAAGCTAACGTTTTGACGATAAAGAAAACGAACGCATTAATGGCGACGGTTTCTTTTATCGCCACTATGTGGTAAGGCTGTGGTATAAGGCGACAAGTTAGTGGAAGATCAGGCCGTTTCCGATCCTAATGGATACGAAAGCCAGGCAGCTAAGGTATATTTCCGCAGCAGACGTCTGTAATTCTATTGAAGGCGAGAATCCAGTCCTCGGATTATTTACATTTCACCACTGCATTACATTTACACTGCGCTACAGCTGTGTAGACTTAAGTAATTTTTCGGAGCGAAATCTATCCAGTTCAGCACCATACAAACCCCTAAACGGTAAATAACAGCGCCTACACATCATACATCCCGTGATTGATTCTCATGTCCCTGTGTCTCGAAGGACACGTGAGCTTATGTTGATCGTGGATGACACAGGACGGGTTTGGTTTGGTTTAGTGTTGTTTGACGTCCTATCAACAGCTATGGTCATTTAAGGACGGCCTCCCATGTGTACAAGATACATGCGTGTAGTGTACGCGTGTGTGTTTTAGGCGGCTGCGCTATGTTCGTGTTTTTCTTCTTGTGATAGCGCGGAACTGATGCCGACTTCATAGTGCTCCCTCACTGAAAAATACTGCCGAAGACTCCCACCAGGACCGGATCCTAATTGTGGAAGTAAAACACTAAAAGGCTATCGTAGGGTTTGAGGCTTAATATAATGAGGGTACATGTTTAAAGCACTTTTGATTACCTTTTTGTTGCCTGTTCTCAGTTTGCATTATTTTGACATACATGTACCATATTCGACCAAGTAAAGACAATACAAGTTATTCAGACTTTAGGGCCGCTCTTGTTGCGTTCATTCCCAAGTGAATATAAGAGAAAACAACAGGTACACGGCGGATTACCGGAGATTTAGTCTGCATATGTCATCAACAAGATGGCGTATATCGAGTTAGTCGTGCAACATCTGCTGCGGCGAATCTTCATTTTGGAGGAAATAAAGAGAATAAAAACAGAGGGGATATACACGACTTATTTGTTGGCAGCGATACCTCTTACTGATACTTAATCTAACCCGGCGCAAAGCACTGCACATATTGGCCAATGAGAACAAAGTGTCAACTAGCTTTGTTTTTTGACCATCACAATATCGGAAAACTGAAATCGGAAAAACAATAATAGCAGTTACTGGTGACGGCAGTAGACCTGAATTCTGTTACTTTCATACTAGTTATCCGTTATCGCCAGGAAGGTTATTTTCTTCTTCCTGATGGCCGATCACGTTGGTGTCTAGACCACATCCACTAGATATAGATATTTCTCTGTATCCTTTCCTTTAACTGTTAAACTGCAGCTATAGCTGTATCTAGTAATACCTCTGAAATGCGACCATTAATTTAAGATTATGTGCCGTGTATGTATATCAGTGTAGAAGCGGTAAGAATGGCTGAAAGTCAGTTTGTCAAGTTTTATATATATGTTAAGTTGTATATAGGTCTTATAAGTAATAACTACAGTATGATCCAGTATTGGCACTGGATCCGAACAAACAAATGTGTGGGCTTCATGGTGAATTGTGACCTGTGCTTTGATCGGGTTTATCCGGTACATGTGGTAACCTAGGATTATGAGATTGTTGCCTTATAATCTCCGTACTGGGGAAATGTGGTTCATCTAGGTCTCTTAATTACCATTATGTATATCATCATGGGGGTCATGGAAATAGATTTAATAAATCACTCCATAAGAGAAAGCCATACCTTTCATGAAAAACCGAATAAAAACAAACCACAACGATATGAGAGTAAAACTACAGGAAGCTAGGCCTGGATTCGAACCTTGCACCCCCATTACAATCGACCGCTTTAACCAAATGATCCACATAATCAGTGGTGGCCTAACTCCACTGCAGTTAATTTGCATGTCGAAACAAAATTAAGGGTAGGTTACCGTATGTATGGAAAACTAATGTGTTTTACACACAATGGGACAGGGATCCTTAATTTAGTTTAATTAAGACTGTCCGGTATTTCGCCTTCCATGGGGCAGGGATTTCAGGTATTTCGCCTGCTATGGGGCAGGGATTTCAGGTATTTCACCTGCTATGGGGCAGGGATTTCAGGTATTTCGCCTGCTATGGGGCAGGGATCCTTAAGTGCTAACAATGCTGATGAAATTTTTGGAAAGGAGACATCAATATCACAGTAAAGTAGCATATCGGTTATGTTCTTAAGACTTGTACGCACTAGCTTTTTGGTGTCTTCGTGAAATGACATTTCTGTGATGTTTAAATGCACTTACTCAGATTGAAGTTCGGAACCGAGCCGGCGGCACCGGATACGCTGTACCCCATAGAGACAGCCTGATATAAGCCAGGTCCGTGTCACTTAGCGTCCGAAACCTTATGTTGGGCACGTCAATGGACTTTTATAACGTACAGCCTTCTTCTCCACAGGACTCCATTAGTCCGCCCCTTGATAAAATTTGCCATAATTTCATGCTTTTCTACGCATACATATTATATTTCTAAATGCCTTTTGACAGTTACAGGTCTTGTTTTCCGTTCTGACATTATGCAGGAATTGGAAAAATCTCTTTAATTTTATATAAAAACACAGCAAAAAGTGGTTGTATTGTATCCTAGTTATATAGCACTCTAACGACCCTGCTTGTGGTTGAAATAAACGTGAAGCTTGCGTTCCCGTGTCTGGGATAGCAAAAACATACACTGCAATGCTGAATAATATATACATTTTGCAATTGATACTATTTTGAAATTTCCTGTGTTTCACAGACATATGAATAAAGAATTGTGACCTGGCTTAATAGATACATTTAGGGTAAAAGACAATTAGACAACCCATCTGCAAAATCGGACATCGCCATATTTGTTCACTGGATAATGAGAATACATGTACCATGACCAGTAATGCCACGCCCTGCGTGTTTTTTGCTTTGCGACAATTTGTATATTTGGTAACTTGGTCAGTTGTGTTTTAGTCCGTAGCCACATGTGAACATGTATATGTAGTTACAATTGCATTGCTGTTTGTGGTGCCATTTACTGTTTTAACAAACCACTTTAACGAACCCGAAGCACTTAACTCTATACCGAGCCCTACGGTTATTATGCTTTTAAACAATTCATGAAAAAAATAGAATATGTTTTAGTATTCATTTCCATTCTAAATTGTTTTCGAACACGCGTATGCAAAATTAAGAATATTTAATTAGGAAACTGTATGAGACAAAATAAAAGTCTGTTATTATACCGTAACTAAAATCGTTATAAACACAATTACCACTACTTGCAAAAGTTTGAACAGTTCTAAAAGGTTCTTATCCATTACGCGATGTCAATTTAAAATCCTATACCCAACCTGGAAAAATATATCAAAATGGTTGATCAATATTTTATACATTCTCATTATTAAATATTGATTTTCGTTAAAAGGGCGATGTTTTAAAACCATAATCGTAACATTTCCAGAATGGCTATGATGAGCATAGAACCGGAAAAAGACAGAAGTACCAAAAACACCTTATGAATATTCATAACATCACTTTGTTGTCGATTCCCTAGGTGTATAGATACTTACGCTGCAGAATAAATCGTTTGAAATTTCCGTAGAAATCAAGGGTCTCCGTTATTAGTTATTCTATTAGTGTAATGTAATATTTACTAACACAGCCTTTTTATAGATCACACCACTAGGTCCTATGTAATATATATAAGTTTAGACCATAAAAGTACCGCCCCCATTAGTTGTGTTCGCTGGGGAACAAATCGCACGATCTCGAAAGATAACTCAGCCACGACACGCCTAGGGAATAAGCGAAATTATGAATTTGAAAACTATCAAGAAATGTCAACATATATATAATTCATAAATCCATTCATTAAGTTCAAGAAAAGTGAAAAGTCACGAATAAACTGGCACATATATTTCCCTTCCCTTAACTTATTTAGATAGAGAGTTATTTCCCTTCCCTTAACTTATTTAGGTAGAGAGTTATTTCCCTTACCTTACAATATTTAGGTATTTTCCTTATCTTAACTTATTAAGGTAGAGAGTTATTTCCCTTACCTTACATTATTTAGGTATTTTCCTTACCTTACATTATTTAGGTTGAGAGTTATTTCCCTTACCTTACATTATTTAGATATTTTCCTTATCTTAACTTATTTAGATAGAGCGTTTTTACGGTGTCGATGCATATCAGAAAAAAATCGAACCTCTTGCTATTTTATTCAGATTCCAAAGACTTCGACTTCGATAGGGTCCGTGTTACTATTTACATATTTATGATAATGTTATTGATACGGAATGCTAAATTTGATGATATTTTCATTTTGAATTTCATTTTCTAATTTTTGCAGGTTATTCGGTTCCAGCGGATCGTGTTCGGCGTGTGGCCAAAGTATTCCGGCTAGTGAGTTTGTTATGAAGGCCCAAGGAAATGTGTACCATGTCAAGTGCTTCAAATGTGTCACGTGTCACAACCAGCTTTCCACCGGCGACCGGTTCAGTATTTTCAATGGCGGACTATTGTGTGAACAGGACTATCCCAAAGTTATGAAAGGTCACGTGATGGGATCCGCTAGGGGGAGCCACAAGGTACAGGGTAGTAGCACGCTAGAACTCCTCATAAGATCAACGCAATCCATTTAATTTCTTAGGAAACATTTTCATATCTCATTATATATTGAACTCGTTTCTGCATAATATTCTTTCTTTATTAGGAGGATGTGTAATGTCTTTCTCGTTATCCGTTCTTATTGGTTTACTTACCATCACTGTATTTTGTTTAAGTTAGAATACAAAATTAAATCTTGGTCTCGTGTAACCGGAAGTGTAAGCATAATTTACTTCCGGTTTATTGAGCATTGTATTTTCATCCTATTGGCTGTATAACACGTACATAATTGTATTGTTAGTTAAAATGTTGTTATTTATTACTTATTGATTCATAGAACATGGTCTAATTTCAAGTTTGTAAAACTAAAGATGCGATTTGGATAAAAAATATAATCAAAAGATTCGCGGAATGACACTGGTGGCCTGTTTACTCATTAATTGGAGACTGACGCCACATACGCGCTCAGTATCGGCGCATGTCACGTAATGCAGACTTAATTCGATAATTGGAAATAGAAAAAACGGTTTAGTTGTAAAACTAAAGGCACAATTGCCTCTTTTTAATCGATTTAAATCTGAATAATCTAGTCTTTTGTAAAGCAGGCTGTTACCTCCGAGAGCAGTGCTTTACGGTAATGGGAAATGATTATGTGAGGGCTAAAATTACGAATTGATTCATGATCAATTCATTAGTATTTTATAGAATATTCCATATACTATATTTTCTATGAAAAAGCGTTCAGTAATGTATAGTTCACATTTTCTGATATATTTGGAAATGAAAAGATATCGCAGTCCTTGTTTTGCACTGTTTTGGCAGTTTTTGTTTCCGCCCTGTTTTTGACAAGTGTCTTCATTATTTTGGTGGTAGGGTTGAGTCTCGACAAAATGGCGTACACTTTTTTTTCTGTTTGATAAACGATTATTTATTTGTAATGGAGAAATAATTTTGTTAAATGTTGATTGACCTGTTACCGATGGATTATTGAACACATGATTATACATGATCACGTGACACTGCGATACATACACTTACAATGTTACTCTATGGATTATGATATAAAATGCTCACCAATAAACTGTCCATGTATTTTGAACGCTGCCTCGGTTTTATCCTTCTGTGACTTAATTTCTTGGTCAGGAATCTGACAACCAATCGGAAGTGCATGTTGTGGAAACTAAGGTACCGGCTGTTTGTACGGTGGAAACCATACTTGCTTACATTGGTGATTGATTAAGTGATGATGAAACTGTGCCCTACCAGATTTCTTAATCACTGGTATGGACTAACGAAGCACCACAAGAAGAGGATTCTTCATATTTGTTTCGTATGTTGTGTTCTATTGCGTGTCGGAATGCAACATAGATCGAACGAATTCACGGCATAGACACGATGCAATGGCGTTCAGACGAGAAGGACATCTAATTCAATGCATAGACCATTACTCGCTCAAAAGGTTTACCGTTTGTGACTAAAGGTTAGAAAGTCTATATAACCTTGATTGCAGGCCATAAATTGGACCATTCCTCTCGTTTGTACATACGTCAATTAAATTAACTCATGCTTGCCGCTAAGGAAATAGTGTAAACATGTCGAACGCTGTACTGACGAGAACCAAATGCTACAGTAGAGAGCGAGCCATATGGCCCACAATAAAAGCTGAAAGTGCTATTAATTGGTGTTTATCTTGTGAGGGTTAAAGTCCACGTCTGCTCCCTCTGCCCGACCCAGGACATGTGTAAAGGGAGGTAGAAATTTAATGGGTTATTGGATCTAGAAACCATTAAATGCGCCCTGGCTCATCAAGGAAACCTCAGAACTCTTCATCGGTCCGGGGGTTACCTGGTTCATTTCAAAATATGTATAGTCAAACAGTTGCGGATATCGCTGAAGTAATCATAATATTGGAAGGACACTGGGCATAAAATGGCGGAAATGACGTCACAGTCCTAATAGGTTTTCATCAAACTCAATTATAATAATAGTCTTATGTTTTTTATCGATTCATTTAGCATTAAGTGGTTCAACCAATAATAGTTACTTCCCTTTAACAGAGCTCTTTGATACTGTAATGGACCATGGCATGATTCCATTTACATTTACAACGAATGGCGAAATTAGAAACCGAAAAATTAATGGAACGAATAAGACACAAATTGTAATAATGCGTACTATCTGTTGGAGTAGTGTCGCTATCGGTACGGGAACGGGCCTGCGTAATGGACAAGTAAATGTCTTGTGATGGACGAACGGACAGTATGGTGAACATTATTTCGTGTACCAAGTAATAATAACCGTATCTAGCCCAGACCCATAGTAACACAGGGGTCGAATTAATGGCGATATACATATATTTACTGCAGAAAATACGTGATGTTTCGAGTATAATAATAACAGTATCGATTTGGTTACCGGTGGTTAAATAATTAAATAAGTCATTTCATCTTCACAGAGCTTTGCATACTATTAACGGAGTAGCTTAATTATCATACCATGCTAAGCTTGTGGATACGGTACCCCACGGGGAGTCTCCCTCCTCAAACTGGTCAATTAATTACACTTAATCAAAGACCAATTCTTAATGAGGAAAGATGAAGAAATTAATGACAGAGTAACCCTATAGCAATCCAATACAGAGACTGGTAAATTCTCAAAATAATCACGAACCAGCAATATTTTATAAGGCTGGATGTCGCTACGTGGGTTACATGGTATAACGTATAATTATAAAACTTTGAATCAAAGTTTGTAACGATCGCTATAGGATAGTACACAACCACGCGCTTCACCAGCTAACGATAAACTAATGCTTCAAATGTATCGTTTGTTTAGATGTTATAATTCACGTTCCATGAAATGAGAATGGTATTTTTTTGTTAAATTGCAAAGATTCCTCCAGCTAGTGTAATTTAGTTGAGCGATCTTGTATATAACACAGGTACTGCCTGACAGCCAGCTCGTGTGTAGGTTCCTCCTCAGAAATGCCATCTTTATGTAGTGGTCTTCTCTCAAATACATCTTTATTATTTTTCTTCGTGGTTGTAATTTATGAGATCAGTAATTAGGAACTGAAGGTACACTTGTGGTTCGTGACACTAAGGTTGGGTATTAATTGTCTAGATCTCGCACTTTCTCGCTTTATTGTTATTCGTGAAGATGACGTTAGTTTATTATTCACGACACCAAAACTCTTAAACTACTTTTACAAAAATACGTTATCCTTTTAAACTCGCGCAAGGGTAATAGGTAATATAATTTGTTTCTTTCTTTCAAAGTTATAGATATACCTTTAAAATACCTACTTCAAGGTAAGTACGGTTGAACATGCTTTTTACACTATTTGTTTTTAAAACATAAAAGATTAAATATTAAACAGAAAGGGAAACGTTTTAGCTTTCACGGACAAAACAATTAACCCAGCCGCTTGTCTATATTAGACGGCTTGGCGTTGGCGTACATTAGTGACGCTACATTTGTACCATGTATTTGTCGGGCAGTAGGACGGTATACCGCTAGGCTGATTAGAGTACTGTAGACGTATCTAATAGACATTCTTATTCTGCAATGAAGAAATTACTTTCAGGGAAACCAAATACAAAAATTATGGAATAATGAAATAAAACGTCGAACACAGCCTGGAGTATTTTAGTGTGTTTAGATATCAACGTCCGAGCTATTCCTGTACAAAGTGCTTTCAACATGTCTGTTTTCACACCACGCGGGTCGGGCCCAGGACGAGTAAAACACACGCATTAGGCCTCTACTCGCGTGAACCCCCATTTACACGACCCTCCACTTACAACTCGCTCGTAATTACACACACATCTAATGAAGGCTGATCGCTGTTACTTAACGTAACACTTCGGAGATAAGGAAATAAAAGACCGTATACATCTACCATGAACGACGACTTACCAACCTCCGTAATTATCTCTTTGTAGACAGATCCGTTCATGTTGGAATAAGCCATTTTGAAAATTACCATTAAGAGTGTTATCTGCTATACAAACAGGAGAGTGAAGTTGACAAGCGACGTGGATTAAAATGGATAATTATGCAATTTCCTTCTCCATTTGATGTGGTGGTTTATTTACAAAACTAATGGAGTTCTTAATAGCTTGAACATGTGTCAGTCCTTGCTAACAGTTTCTCGTCGGGCACAGATTGTCTTCAAGGCATCGTCTCTCACTGTGGCTAAATACTGCCATAGGTTTACCGTACGGTACGTGGTTATTATAACCCCGCGATAGTGTGATCGCTGAAATGGCTGTCACATCGAAGGTTCGTAACACGTAAATGCCGAAGACTCGCACAATGACATTTTACCTGAAACAAATGCACCTGTTTAAAATGAAGATTTCAAAATAGCAAAAGGTTGAACATTTTTTGTTGTATATTAAACTTAAATATTGAATGATTTATCGTATGCATAATAGGTTCATATATTTAATTTTAGCTCCTCAAATTTAATATATTTCAAACAAGTTAATCTCCGAGGTCGTTTGATTGGCAGATCCTGCGATAACAGTAACAAATTGTGGTCGATTTAGATTAAACTTTGACATTGATTTGCTAATCTGTTTCATTGAGTTAATTTGTCTCTGCCAGTTGATACTTAATCAGTCGACACTGTGACGTCAGCTGATATCTAGTGGTTATGTGGTATTTAATGAGAAATAACCCGTAATTAATTAACTGTCTCGATTGAATTAAACATGAGGTTATCACTTATATATTCCACTTATTTCATACGCACATGACATTACATGCTGATCCATCGAATACCAGTAATATGTTTAAATTTCTTTGGAAACAATAGTTCAATTAAATTACTAAAAATAGACATAACTAATAAGATGGGACGGGAGGTTAGTATTGGGAGTAATTTACCTGTCAGTTATCGTATATGTTTAATTTTGGTGTCGGTGTTTAGCGCAAGATCCCTGGGGTCACACACAAACAGGATGTGACTAACGTT